CAGAGCAACACCGAAGGACGGGAAAGGAAAGGGCTCGGAAACGCAACGCCTTCATTGGCAATCCCTTTGGCTTTGCCAAGAAACTACTGGGCCAGAAGTGAAGTGGCCACCTCACTTGCCCTGGAGAGGAAATTGACCACTGCCTCCACGCCGCCTTCAGTGACACCCCGAGGGACCACGAGCTCGGACCATGTAGGGAAGTGGTGGCACCATCAGAACCAGGGACCCAATTTAACAGCGCTGAGCTCACCCTGAAGGAGGTGGAAAAAGCTGTCAGAGCTTCAAGATCCAGCTCTGCTCCCGGCCCCAGTGGTGTACCTACAAAGTCTACAAGCAATGCCCACAGCTCCTCAAACATCTCTGGAAGATCCTGAGGGTGATTTTGCGGAGAGGGAAGGTTGCTGAACAGTGGAGGTATGCTGAGGGAGTCTGGATCCCAAAGGAGGAGTGCTCGAGCAACATTGAGCAGTTTCGCATCATCGTACTGCTCAGTGTTGAGAGCAAGATCTTTTTCAAGATCATGTCCCAACGTCTGACAAACTTCCTCTTGAATAACACCTGCATTGATAGCTCAGTCCAGCAGGGAGGAGTCCCAGGAGTGCCTGGATGTACGGAGCACACGGGGGTGGTGATGCAGATCATCTGGGAGGCAAGAGAGAGCAAAGAAGACCTGGCAGCTCTCTGGCTCGATTTGGCCAGTGCCTACGGATCTATTCCACACAAGCTCATTGAAACCACACTGGCAAGACATCATGTTCCAGACATCTGCAACTTCATCATGGACTATTACAATGACCTTAGCACACAAGTCTCTTCAGGGCAAGTGACATCTGCCTGGCATCACCTTGAGAAGGGGATAATCACCGGCTGCACCATCTCCGTAACCCTCTTCTCCCTGGCCATGAATTGGATAGTTAAGTCTGCTGAAGTGGAATGCAGAGGGCCCAAGTCAAGATCTGAGACTCTGCAGCCCCCCATAAGAGACTTTATGGATGACTTAACAGTGACAACATCTGCTCCAGGATGCAGGTGACTCCTTCAGAGGCTTGAACGGCTCATCTCCTGGGCAAAGATGAGCTTCAAGCCCGCTATGTCCAGGTCTCTGGTCCTGAGAAAGGGTAAAGTGCCCGACAATTTCCGCTTTTCCCTGGGAGAGACCACAATTCCATCAGTGACCGAGAAACCGGTCAAGAGCCTGAGCAAGCTCTTCAACAGATTCCTGAAGGACTCAGATGCCATACAGCAAACCAAGAAAGATCTGTCCACTTGGCTCACAGCGATTGACTCCCTGGAAAATTCAAAGCCAGCATAGAGTCCTACCAAGAATACTTTGGCCCCTGTTTGTCTATGAAGTACCATTGACAACGGTAGAGGCTCTGGAGAGGTCCATCAGCCAGTTTCTTCAGAGATGGTTGGGGCTCCCCCAATCCTTGAGCAGCATCGCCCTGTACGGCCATTCTGATAAGCTTCATCTTCCTTACAGTGGACTAACAGAGGAGTTTAAAGTCACCCGTCCCAGAGACGTGATGATGTACAGGGACTCCACAGACACCAAAGTCGCAGCAGCAGGAATCCTTGTGAAGGCTAGGAGGAAGAAGCCATCACTAAAGCTGAAGCGCAACTCAGGCATAAAGTGCTGGTGGGCTCTGTGGCAACAGGAAGAGCAGGTCTGGGTTTCCTTCCGAAGCCATGTTACGATCTAGCCCATGGAGAGGAGAAGCGTCGACTGATCCAGGATGAGATACGAGCAGAAATGGAGGAAGTCGACATGTCGAAAGAAGGAGCTTGGACCAGGTGGGAGCAGGCAGATTCCCACAGAATCACCTGGGCAGAGCTCTGGAAAGCAGAACCATCGCGCATTAAGTTTCTCATCCAATCGGTCTATGATGTCCACCCAGGCCTGGAGCACATCTTAAGCTGCTGCTCAAAAGTGCCTTGGGCGGGGCGGTACCGCTGGTGCCACGACCAAGTGCTAAAAGCTCTGGCAGAATCCATCTGCACAGCCATCCAGCACAGCAAGACCCAGGCAGCCCTCAAACAGTCAATCACCTTCATTAGAGCGGGGCAAAAGGTTCAATACCACCAGCCTAACTCTACAGAGGGAATCCTCACCTCTGCTGACTGGCAACTTCAAGTTGACCTTGGAAGACAGCTCAAGTTCCCTGTCAACATCACAACCATTTCTGTCCGCCCGGATGTGGTACTAACATTGGCGTCCACTAAACAAGTGGCTACCATGGAACTGACTGTCCCCTGGGAAGACCGGATTGAAGAGGCCCACAAACAAAAGAGGACCAAGTACGCAGAGCTCAGCACAGAGTGCTGGAACAACGGCTCGAAAATCAGCTGTGAGCCAGTTGAGGTCAGGTGCCGAGGCTTCGCTGGCCATTCACTTCTGCGAACTCTCAAACTCCTTGGAGTGAAAGGACTGCAATTGAATAGAGCCACCAGAAACATCCTAGAGGCAGCAGACAGAGCCTCACGGTGGCCAACAGTGGCCTCGCTTAATTGTCTAAAACCTGGACATAAACTACAAAAGTGTGAAGAACCTGGAAATGAATAGCATAAACTGTCAACAACTTGGATATTACTGTCCTAAAATATCAAGAACCTGGATGATCATGTACTGACTTT